AAAGGAAAGAAAGAAAGAAAGAAAGAAAGAAAGAAAGAAAGAAAGAAAGAAAGAAAGAAAGAAAGAAAGAAAGAAAGGCCCAGAGTCATTCTGGAGTCAGGCAGCACCTAAATCAAATGAATTAAATTGAGAAAGAGAGAGAGAGATGCCAATGAAGGATCAGAACAAAAGCCATTGTTTATCTGTTAACTGTACATATCATGAACTTTCCTTAAACATAAGAATAACTGGATTCTGGATTCTTGATGAATTCAAAGGAGTGGGAAGGACTTTTGCTGATTATACTGTTCCTGGGCAGCAGAGTTTGGTAGAGTCCGTGCAGTAGCAACTTAGGCTGGTTGGCAGGAAAAAGAAGGAAAGGAGGAGCAAAACCAAAGATGGATGATAAGGAGCCACATAAAGCTGTGGTTTTGGCAGAAACCAGAGTTGTTCTGGCTACTGCAGGAGCAGGCTAAGCTGGCTGCTGGCAATGGGGCAGCAAATGCAAAAGGAGGCAACACTTTTGATTTTCTGAAAGTTGTATTTGTTAAATAGGAGTTGTGTCGAAAAACCGAAAATAATCTGCTTGGCCTGTTACAGCTTTGGAGCAGATCCTAACTTCAGGCAGAGTATCTGCAAATACCTTCCTCTGCCCTTCTTTTTTCTCCCTCTTTTCAACCCCCATCTACTATCTGCATTTTCATGATGGTATTACTGAGACCTGCTAGGTCTCAATGAAAGAAGGCGTCTTGATGGAGGGTAGCTGAGATGAGATGGAGAAAGGTCACAATCCTTGTGGATAATTTATAGAAGTGTACTTTACAACAGTGCATTTAGTAGATGTCCACCTTCACCTGAGAGTCTTAAACATCTTTTCCCAGCCTGGTACCTTCCAAATTTATTGGACAAAAACTCCTAGCTTCCCCCAGACAGTATAAGCAAGGTTTAATCTCCCTTCTAGGAAAGAAAATGGATAGACTTGGGTATTTTTCAGTAAAATGCAAGTCTGATGCTGTTAAGGAGGACCCAGCTAGAGCAGTTTTTTATGTATCTATCTTGACATTGCAGAAGTTCATATATTTAGCCCTGTTGTTTCCCTGATCTCCTATAGTCAACAGAAGAAAAAAGGAACTGTGACATCATTACTGACAAGGGACACAAGAGATGTTGCCTACATTTCCCTCTTTGTGACATATCCTACAAAAATGTGTTACCTGATTGGGTGTAGGGAACCATGGAGATAACCTTGGAGAAGGCATCCATATGTCTTTAGAACTACAAACAGGTACAGAAGAAGCATGTGTTATGTCCAGGGGGTGGGAGAGTATTAGAAAAAGACTCAGACTGGCATCCCCCTGACTCCCTGGAGTATAAGAGAGAGGGAAGGAAAAACACAGACACATTTGCAAGATTCTGTTACTATAGCTTAATCTCAGTAAAGTATAGTTCTAGTCGTCCTGTGGAGTTAGTTTCTTGATCTCTGTAGGGATGACATCAGGTCACAGAACTCCCAAGCAAATGTGCATGGGGATGAAATCCAGCAAGATTTCCCAGTCCCAATAGCTCCTATCATCTATATGTGTGTAATCCATTTATTATGTTCTGCCCCCATGTTTCCATCAGCATAGGTGACTGCTACTTCTTTTCCTTTCTGGGTATAGGCTAGGGCTACAGGCTGCCAAAAACTGAGCTGTTTCTTTCCAACCCAACCACATTCCTCATAAAAAGCAGTTGGTATATGCCATACATTCCAACTGAAGTTATTCAGTTTTTGTTTTTGTTTTAATATTTGCCAGCTTCTAAACCTAGTAGATAAGAATGACCCTGAATGAACAAATAGAGCCAGAACAAGGAAAGACACGTGGAGCTGGAACACCACTTAGTGATTCAGTAGCCACTCCTGCTCTGCCCTTCTAGCCTTTCCAAGGTGAGCCGCAAAATAGAAAGCAAAGGAGACAGTTAGCAGGGACATCTGAGGAGGTGTCTGGACATGGCTAAGTCAGCGCAACGGAGGAGAGGACATTTTCAGCTGAGAAAAGTGTATAAAGAAGCATTTCATTAAGCCAGTACATTAAAACTGTGCAAATGCTAGTAATATTTCAAATGTCTGGCTTTTTAAAATGTTGAATATTGAGCAAAAACAGATGCATGTGGGCTTCAAATACATGCCAATCAGTGTATAGTATTGTACAGTAGGATTGTTTCCATGTTTGAAGCAGGCTAGCTTAGGCATATGAGTTAGTCTGTAAAATAGCTTTCCTATTCTGATGCTCTCCAGATGTGACATTATAATTCCAATCATCCAGAAAGCAATTACACTTATTGAAACACTGAACATAGTCACAAAGTCCTAACTGTTGTAAAATGGATTAACTATAAGCACATCTAGGCTCGGGCATCTTCATTCTTGATGAAATCAGGAACAGGAAGGATGTTTGTTTTCCTCAACCAGATGTCCTCAGATGTGTTGAACTACAACTTTTGTAACATTTGGCTGATAATGGCAAATAACACAATGGTGCCTGTACTGTTGAGGGTGATGGCAGTTGGCAGTACTGCTCAAACTTGCCTGGGTTCAGAAGTTAAGCATGGCCAGATGTGGTTTATATTGGGATGGGAGACAACCAGGAAATTTCAGAATTGTTGGGAAGACTGGGAAATTTTAAAATATGTATGTATCCTGTGAGAAGGATAACGACAAACTGCTTTGGTAAGAAAACTGTGTGGATGTGTCTGTAAGTCACCAAAAGTTGAGTTTGACTTGAAGGCATCTTAGCTATTTTACTTTGCCATCTGTAGAGCCCCATGTTAGGGAAGGATCCTTTTAAGTCACATATGGCTAGAACAAAATGTAACAGAGGGCAATCAGGATCAGAGGCTCTGCAGGAGAAGAGTTGGGGAACTCTTGCAAGATGATGCACCCCCTAGCCAATCATTTGGCTGTGTGCTGGAGGGTACAGACATAGAGAAATATTGTGTCATGGCAAACTCTGCCATCAAGCTCTATTTCAGCTTGACAGTAATTCCAGCCTACATTACCGGGAAAGGCAAAGGAGAAAGTCATTTCAGCTATTAATATGTAATCTCTCTAGAATTGTTTGATCAACAGCACTGTGTATTAAATACAAATACAAGTGTTACAGACAGAAAACCATTTCTGCCACCTGGTGGAGGACTCCAGAAGGAACCTGCTTAATGTACTATGTAATTTTTCCTCTACCTAACCTTGTGTATTGTGCTTTCATTATGGGCTGGCTACTAGCACACCTGGGAAGTCTTTACTTCCAAATTCATCACCTTAAAATCATTTGGGAACTTCAACGATTAGTCTGTCTCTTTGTCTTCTCTAGGATGCTCTGTGGCAAGAATCCAGGATCAGGACATTAGATGTGAGACTCCCACCCTGGCTCTTGTTCCTTGCTGCCCCATGTGTTTGCTGGTACTTGCAACAGAAGGAGAGAGATTGAGAAAGAGAGATGATGGAAGAATAGTCAGCTCAGTAATATTGATCTTCCAGCTTTGCACGCATTCAGCCAGACAAGTGCAAACACTGTTTTAATGACCACTGCTATCCAAAGAGAGAGACTGGGATTCCCTATGCTCATGCAGGCTTACAAGAAACAAATCGGATAAGTAACTACATGAAAACTATGAAGAGTCACTGTTGAATAGGACTGGGAAGAACAGTGGAAATTAGACACTATTATCCTGGAAGAAACCCAGAAGTTCCATGACACACCTGTTTTTTATTCTTCATTACATAGTTTAGAAGGAAGAAGAACAGTGAAAGAAAACAAGCAATGGGGGGTGCTGGAGTGTGATTGTTTTTAAGTGACACAGGTACCCTCCAGATTGATATCAACCTTTTCTGAAGAACACATTGAATTTCTGTGTCAGGGTTTTAGTCAAGTGGCTAGGAAATGAGTCTTGGAAAGCTACCAGTGATCGGCTGGGTATCTGGCTCACACAGCAAACGTCGCCTCAAAACAGAGCTGACCCCGGACATGATCAGCCCACCATTGGGGGACTTTCGCCATACTATGCATGTGGGACGTGGTGGTGATGCCTTCGGAGACACTTCCTTCCTTAGGAACCATGGTGGAGAGGAAGCCAAACCCCACAATTTCTTTGCTCGGACACTGTGGCACGTGAGGAGGAGCCCACTAAGGAACCGAGGAAGCCGAAACAAGGACCAGGGCTCATCAGCACCTCCCGCCATCTCACCCATCATCAAGAATGCTGTGTCGCTGCCTCAGCTCAATCAGAGTCACTATGAGAGTGATGATCTTGGAATAGCATTTCCCTTCAAGAGCCCCCCAACAAGCTTCTCTGACTATGGTAGGTGGCTTCCAGGTAACTCCTCATTTGGGTTAAATAGGTGATCTTGTTCTAGATACTGGTTCTTCCTGTGCTTTGGTTTACTTAGATCAGTGTTTCTCAACCTTAGCAACTTTAAGCTGTGTGGGGAATTCTGGGAGTTGAAGTCCACACAGCTTAAAGTTGCTAAGGTTGAAAAACACACTAACTTAGATACACAACAAACATTTCATAAGCACACTCAAATAGACATTTCAATAATATTTTTAGAGGTCTATACATTTAGGATTGACAAGTGCTATAGTATGTGTTTAAGGGAAGTCTATTATACACTATCTTACTTTGTACTTTCTATGATTCTCTGCTGCAGTAATTTCCTTTTCTTGGTCTCCCCTTATTTTATTGAAAACAGTTCTACAATTTGTTGTTACCAAATCATTATTTTGAATAGCAGATACTGGCTCTGAAGTCTTAGCATTGTTCTATGAACATATTAGAATGACATCCCTGAAGTTTTTCAGAGGCTTTGGAATAAGAAGTTTCTACAATTATATAAGTCTAAAATTTTTAAAGAGTATAAAATAAAAGACTGTGAAAATTGAGGGTTTCTAGCAGGAAATCATAATGTGACTCAGAGCTTTCAGATGTCCTTTTTTGGCTTTTCAGCCAAGCGGCAGCAGGCATCTGAGGGTGCTTTAAAGTTTCATCAATCTTTTTTTGTGGTGGCTCTTCTGCTACAGGTCTTCTAGTTTACAACCAAGTCTACTAAGTCATATGGTTCCAGAATGCACTTGGCATTTTCCTGGAATGATAAAGATAAGGCCAGAAATAGCTACATGTATTTTCTGGTTTACCCAGCTCTCCATAGAGAGCTGAAAGATTAGTAATGGGAAGTGCGGTTATAAAAGGAAAGGAAAGGGAACGGAATGGGTGGGGTAATCTTCAATTGCAAATATGCATGAGGTTAGTGAGTACAACCAAAATGAAGCAAGTATATTGCAAAGAATCTAGAACTTGCAGAAATGTTATTGTTAGAACTATCTTAACTTTTGCTGTGGAATAAACATTAGTACAGATGGTCTCACATATCAATTATTTTTTAATGCTTAGTATGTCTGCAGTATCTTTCCTTACCTCTTGCTAATTGTTATTTTTATCTATTACTATATTGTTTATTCTAGATCAGACTGCTACCATCTGCACTCCCCTTGGGTTTCTTAAACTATATCAGTGGTACATAAGCAAAATAAATTTTGCAAGGGTTAAATTGATGAAAAATAGAACACAAATAATTCAGAGCAATAAGATCTGCTTTGTGGGGGCCATAAGGTAGTAACATAAATTTAAATTTTAAAAGTGAACAGAATATAAACATTTATTGCTAAGCGCTAAACAACCAGCAAATGTGAAAAATAGTAAATCTTTTGCATATGTTACAGCAATCATACATAGATTGAAGCATAGGATATGTTCAGTATGACTTATAAAAATGCCTACACATGTATAAATTCTACATCTGGAAGTCAGAATCCCTGGAAAAGAAGGGCCTCCCAACTGTCATGTAGAAATACATGGGTACAACCAGCATATGTATAATCCAAACACTTCTCTGTGTGTAGGCCACTTCACGTTATGCTGAATGCAAGCAGAGGGGTAGGAACAAAAGGAACAGATGTGATTTCTCTGCTTATAAAAACACACATCACATCACATATCTTCTGATTATGGTTCTAATTCTGTAAAATGTATTTGATTAGTGTCATCTCAAATGAGATGTTTTGTTCATCACTGATTTCACGCGAGCTGCATTGGAATCCTGTTTAGCTGAAACTGGTGTAAAAATAAAATACCTTGAATAAATAAATAGATCGTGATTTGGCATTATGCTTACAGAACTCAGACATTTCATTACTCCACTGTAAACATGAGACTAACTTTGGATCTATGCCAATACATGCAATGACTTTTGGTCTGGGCTTTACTGCTGTTACATTTAGTGTCTATTTGGAGAGTTGGTAAATATGCCAAAAGAGGAGTTATATAGGACAGTGGAGAAAAATCATCATCAAAGGCATTATTGTTCTGTACACTTATTTTGGAAGTTAAATCTTAATGAGCAAATGCAATGGGACCTGTGTCAGTGGAAACATACCTAAGATCAGGTTATAAATCTATACTGTTTTGCTACGTTTGAGTAGATATGCAGGTAAGACTTTGGGAAGAAATTTTTCAGTAGTGCTGGAAAGATGGCTTGTCTCCAGCAAGAGAATTTGTATTCAATACAGAATGCCAAACAAACAGCTGATAGGAGAGGAGAGGACTCTGTATGTAAAGGAAGGAATTTATGAAACAGAAAAGTTTGGGACTATGGGAGGAAACCAGACTGAAGTACAGCAGATCTCCTCCAGTGTCAAATGATAAACCTGGATGTTGTTCAGATGTTTATGCGCCCCAGTCAACACAGGAAGATCTAGTCCAATTCTTATTTCAACTCAAAACTATGGAGAGCATTCAGGTTTTTCACTATTGAATTACCAACTGCTTTCTTTACCTCCTGTAGTGTCTGCATCTGCAGTAGAAAACTGCAGTATTTGCACTGAGGTGGGACTAGGAGAGTCACTTTGAGCAGCTGAGGCTCTTTAGTTCCCTTTTCCCACATTGCCATTCTGGCCTTGTTGCTCTTTCCCCAGCTTTGTTCAAAACAGATGTGAGACAAGGCTGCCCTCTGTGGTACGCTATGAGTCGTACCATTGTTGCGAACACATCCCCCCTCCCAGCTTTTTATACACTTTATCATCCCTCCTGTAAATTCCAGCTTCATGAGCAAAGTGCAGAAAAGATAAGGTTAACCAATCATTTAAAGAGAAAACGAGTTCCCCATTCTTTCTGCTTTTATCCATTCAATCTTGCGAAAGTAATCAAACTTGCAATTCCATTGCTCCCCATATATTTGCTCCCTATATAAGCAAGGTCAATATTTCATTGCCCAGGCCAGCTGGCCCTGATGTATAATTCATATTGCTCTTAGTAATACATGTTTAGCAATGGACAGGAGGATATTCACAGAAGATTTTGACTAAGGCAATGCCTATGTACATCAAGATATCTTTTATTCCAGAGTTGAGGATGGCTGAAATGTGCCCTGGAAAATTAAGCAACCATACTGAATCATCATAAGATCATTTATTCTGTTTGAATGCTTTTGAAATAAAAAGCAGGATATAATATTTAAAATAAAATGAGAGTCAACTCGATCTGTCTATACCAGCAACCTCTTTTTCCCCACGGAGGACACCCGGGATTTCTATAGGATGCTCACAGACTTCTCAGGTTCCTCCTGGCCCATGTTTCTCCAGCAACTGATATTCAGGAACATGATGCTTCCCATAATGGAAATAATGCACAGCCTTGAAGGCACCAGGTTTGGGAAGACTCCTCTATGAAGATAACCTAGCACCATTTATATTTAATGGAAGAAATGTCACAGTATCCATTTCATTCTTTCTGCCAATATATGACATACAGTAATTTTGATTAAGGATAGGAGGCGAAATGGGCTAGAATTTCACAAAATAGGCTATTTTGCATCTTTTAAATATGAGAAATCTCATTGTTCAGGAATCATGATCTGAGCTCACACAGCACACTGAACTGGGCTAAAATTAAAATGAATTATAAATAATCTTTTCTGGTTCAATATGTTATGATATTCTGATAGTCTGCCAGTGTGTTAGCATGTTGTAATACCAGGCATGCCAGAGGGAGGGGTGGTAAATGACAACATGTACTGTATGTGTGTTGATATCAACCCACAAGGGCCATGACTTACAAACTGATGTTAACTATGTAACAGAACCACTGTTGTGATGATGTTAATATAGCTGGTTATGGAACCTGTCTGTATTTTAAGAGTTCGGAGTGTCTTCATTTTTAGTCTAGAAATAGAATACATATGCCATGTGGAAATAGTCACAAGACATGCCATAAAATGGGAAAACAGACATAGAAATGTAATACCACACTCTAATTCTGAACCTGCGTGTTCTGCATATTTCCTTTACTGGCTCTGGGAGTCCAGTGTTGAAGGATGGATGCTAAGTTAACCCAGGGATGAAAAATTTGCTCTTGGCACCAAGAACAGTTCATTAGGAACAGTTCATGAGCCACTGAGCTGCGACTAATTTGCATATTTTAGCCGCACACTATTAACACAACATGCACGAGGTGGCAAATGTGAATCAACGTTAGTTTGACATGGTGCGCTCTACAATAGTCTTATCCTGAAATGGTTCTCTCTTAATACAGAGAAAGCTTGACTAAGCACTAAGAGGAGGAAGGAACTCATCTCTCTACCTTGGTCTCTCCTCCCACCCCCACCCCCCGCTCCATTTTGTGGGTTAAAAGAAAGGGATAGAAGAAGGAAAAAAGAACCATTTTGAAAGCTGGTCCTGGAAATCCCAGGTGCGGTCAAATATATATGCTTGGTTTTCATTTGTTTATTTTTTGCCTTTTAACCCATTTGCTATCACATCTGTCAACATTTCTCCAGAGATTTGCGACATGAAAGCTGCAATTATGAGTAGGACGTATGAAAAATCTCTGGTTTCTCTAGGATAGTTGGGGACTAATATTGACCTGCCCTCATATTTCACATTCCACAAGTATAGGAGAATTGCCACCTTCTGCTCTCACAGGTAATGCAGAGAAGTAGTTCTCTCATATTTTTTTCTCATTATTGATTTCATGGCCTTTCAGGACTAGAATCTGGATTCTGCACCATTCCACGTGTTCCCCGGTCTGAGAAGGCTCCCGAGAGCTCCCAGCTTGCTGAGTCAGCATTGCAGCGTTCAGATTCCTTGCTGTCATTCCGCCTGGACCTTGGCCCCTCTCTGATGAGCGAACTTCTTCATGTCATTAGCTTCTCAGGAGGCTGCAGCCCTGACTCCAGGGCAAAGAAAGAAGGTGAAGAAAGTAAACCCCCAAGCAGCAGTGAGCCTAGCTCATCGCTTCACATCAAGAGCAACTGGGCAGAGGACTCACTGCCTTGGAAATCGGAATCTCATCATGGTAACAGTGAAGAAAGCCAAAGCGCGTCAAGCCTTTTGGATTATTCTGAGCCTAGATCACCACTGGGACACTTGGTCTATGCCAATGGAGATTCTCATTCTATAGAGTTGTCTGAGGAAGGATCTCCCTGTCTGAGAAGCAGGAGCTCTAGTTCTGAACTGGGGGCAGTGCCAAAAGAGACCTACTGGCAAAAAGGGCACCACAATGACTGTAACATGGAAGCAGGAGAATTCAACCATGCTGCCCGTGTATTAGCATGCCATTATGGGATGGGAAGCACCTATCACAGTCCACCTCCACAAGAAGATCCAAGGAGACAAGCTTCATGGGAAAGCCCAAATACCAACTCATGGCATGTGAAAGTAGGTGCACCTGAGCAGCAGGAATATGCTACTGGATGGCGACACAGGGGAGGAGGTGAGGAGGAGGAGGATCACGACAAGTCTGACAGTGATGAGGAAACCATTGTTAGAGAGAGACACAGTGATTCCTTTGAATATGTTGATGAAGAGGATGAAGATGAAGTTAAGGTTTAAACAGACATATGTGCTCTCTTGTGGCCTCCCACCACCTTCTTAGGAGATGTCCGAACTAAAGGGAACAACGTATCGCTACCTGGCATTCTGGATGCATGCAGACTTAAAAGATTAGCCTTCTTTCCAGATGATCTATGTCAGTGCTTCCTAAACTGGTGTTTTCAGACACTGGGGGTGCAACATCCAGAATTCCCACAGAGTGACAGTTCTACCACACTTGCAGAGTGCCAGGGTAGGAAAGGCAGATGGAGGAAGGGACTCATGTCTCTACCTTGCTCTCTCCTCCTCCTCCCTGCTTTGTGGGTTTAAAAAAAGAAGAAAAAAGGAACCATTTAGAGCAAACAAAAAGTACTAGTTGCTCTTTTTTGGCAACTGGCACTTAAAGATGCTCATGACTTCACATCCTCTTTCATTCCCATTGGCTGATTGATTTCATCATGATAGATGGTGCCATGATTTTTCCATTCCCTAGAAATAAAAACATTATACTTGAGAACAGAGGCCACTGAGACCTTCCACATCTCTATCAAATGACTGTAGGGGGGAAATACCATTTAAAAAAGACCAGTCTAGAAAAGGGAAGAGAAGCTGTACATCCCATTGGGACCAAATCCACCTAACTGCCACATGCTTCTGCCTTGTGCTGAAGGTAAAGATCTACTCAGCTGTTCTTCCAGTCCAAGGTACTGACACCAGTTAGGCAGGATGATTCCTCTCTTTTTCAAGGAACACAAAATTTGGATCTGAAACCAGTTCATTAGCACACTGTCCATTTCTCCTGCACCAAAACTCTGATTGGGATAGGACTGTTTCTTGTTTATTTTACATCCTCAGAAGGAAATGTAATCCTAGACTTCCAATGAGATTATTCCAGGGGAACCTGTATGTCAAGCTTGTTTTATTTGCTTCCAGAGAGCACACAGGAATTCAGTTTATGTTAAGGATCTAGTTTACTGACATGTAAGGCTGAGATATAACTTTTTCCATCCTGCATCTCCTAATTCAGGCATTGGTAATGCAAAGCCCTAAATAACAGTTTGACCCTAGCACTTATAGCTTTGCATGGCTACTGCAGCAGCTTATCCACAGATTGCTTGTTCAGGAAGAAAAGGAAGGGAAATAATTTCTCAAGATAAAACCAGAGATTCTGAAATAGGCCTGCCTTTCGTGCTTCCTTATTCCTAAAAAAAAAAAAAAAAAGGACAGTTTACACACTGTCTTTGGAGGCCTTCCAAGTAGCCCCTGAATTTGCTGCTACTGCCATAAATAAGGCTGCTGCTTAGCTGAAAAATAGGCTGAGTGGAGCACAATTATTATGCCTTCCCTGCAATAATTCCACAATTATAATGTATAGTGTGGCTTAAATAGGGAGGACAGCATGCAAAAATTCACCTGTGTACATTTCCCTTTCCATTTAAATCTTATGTGTCTGCCACCCTGTGCAACTGATTGCTCTTGGAAGCAGCTATTCTCTATACCAATCAGCCAGAAGGAGAGAGGTTCAATGAAATCTAAAAATGCAGCCTTGCACGTCCTTGGCCATGTGCTCTACCAATTTACTTCTGCACTTCTGCCCACTGGTACAAACAAACTTCATTGACAAGACTGTCCCCCTTTCTCCCAAGGACCATTCAGACAACCATGATAAGTTATACCATCCTTAAGAAAAGTAGTATCTCTGAAAGTATCCTTGAGGAGAAGGCCAGACAGTTTAATCTGAAAGTGTCTCTGTATGTACTTTACTCTCATAGCAACAGTTGAACACCCCAAAAGGAGAGAAGTGGGTGAAATTATGATGATGTGGCTAATTATAGTGGTGACCATTTTTACATAGGGAGACTTTGGAAGCATCAGTATTTGAGATAAGTCAGTCTGAATCATCTCCTTGTGTTCATTTTGAAGAGGCTCTCAGCCAGTTATGTTGGCTGGGAAAGAAGGGGTTGTCTTGTCCTAGACATGGAAGAACATGAGAATCAGGCTCCTCACTCATCTCTTCCCCTCCCCTGCATATTTTAAGGAGGTACTCATACATTGCCCTCTTCCAGCTCCCACCCATCTGCCTGCATTTTTCCCTGATCAAATCACTCTGCTCTCAAGAAACTATTTTGGTGAGAAACAAAAGGGAAGAAGTGGATGTCATAGAGTAAACTCTTTAGAGGATTAGAAGCTGTGAAAAAGAAATGTTGCCAAAGGCTCTAACATGGATGCCAGTAAGATTTCTCTAATGAATTGAAATCAAGTTTTAAAAGCAGGTATAAACATGTTTAACTTTCCCCCTTCCCATAAAAAGGGTCCCCTGAAGTTGTTCATTTGGGTTGGTTCTAGCTGAGCAAACCAAAGTAATCATAGTAAGTGGAGTTTCAAAGCTCTTTCTTCTGTAACTGGTGACGAATAAGATTTTTTTCTTTACCGTCTTCTGCATCACTGTGGGGGACCTTTTTTCAGCCAAGGACTGTAGATCCTCAGGGATTACTGAAGGGGACACCATACGCAGGGGTAAAGAAAGAACTGATGGGATCCAAGCCAAAAATAGATAAGGACATTTATTTTGTGTCTGGCAGTCATTTCCAGTTTTTGGTTCACCTGCCCCTCTCTCTTCCAAGTAACAGGCCACAGGGAAAGGAGGGAACTCTCTTAACCAGAGGTTTGAATTGATCACTTGCTGATAGGAATACAAGCTACCCACCTCTGTTATAATGTCCTAGTGAGTACAGGTAGTCCTTGTTTAGCAACTGCCTTGTTTAGTGACTGTTTGCAGTTATGACAGTGTTGAAAAAGTAACTTTGCAACCAGTCCTCGCATTTACAACCTTCGCAGGTCTGTAAAGCAAAGGAAAGATGAATTAAGATCATAAACATCAGTTTCACTTAACGACCACTTCACATAATGACCATGGTCTTTAAATGAGTATTACTTGTATAGTACTCTACCCTTCAGAACCACATGACTCTGTAATCCTGTCCTGTGAGTTGTACTATTTATATATTCTAGCACTTGTTTTCAGAAACTTGAATAAGTAAAAGTGCTTTTCTACAGGCTTAGAATAAAATGAGATTCTTGGCTTGTCTTCCTGAGAGCTGGATTCAGTGGAGTATTAGATGACAGCCTTCGAGAGTCCCTACATTTGGATGCCCTTTGGCAACATGGATTCTTTGGAACGAGCAAGTTATTTCCATATTCACACAGAAGAGAATTTTTTTCTGTTTGTTTTTTTTTTTCCTTGTGGCAAGCAGAGATGGCTGGGAGGTGAGGTCACCAAAATGTCCCTCACAACCCTCTGATTGTTCACAAGTTGGCAACAGCTGGAGGAAGCCTAATCCTGCCATAAGCTCTACGTGGCAGGAGGAGGGAGAAAAAGTAGGAAGAAACAGAGAAAATATAATAAACAGGCACTGCGTGGGGACATCTAGCCAACTGCTTTTCCTTGCTGGGTGGCTTATGACAAGCTGACTGCCTGACCAATGGAAAAGACTGTAAGCACCTTTAAATAACATCAGGAGTGATTTGGCATTTAGCTAGTATTTTTGATGGCTAGAGATGGATGTTAGGAAGGGTTGGCTTAAACACTGAACAAGGCAGGATGTTAAATACATCTTTGCATTCAAGTGCACATTTTTTAAAATAAAAATCCAAATTGGCTTTATGTAGAGCAAAGCCATTGGCTCATCTAGTTATGATAATGTTTGCCCTGGCTGGCAGTGATTCAACCGGCAATTTTCACAGCCCTATCTGGAGAGGTTCAGGACTGAAACTAGAAATCTAGTACACAAAGCTGACTGTATCCTACAAAATAATACTATTAATGGAAGCTTCCCTCCCTTACATAAAGCAAGTCTGGGCAGAAGGGGGACATTCCCCTTCCCCAGTCACTGCTATTTCAGTGATTTTCACCCACACACATACCTATAGCTGCTTGTATTTTTTTTTAATGTACATTTAAATGCAAATAGATATTGAACATCATGTCTAGCTTGACCCTAAAGAGCCTGAAAATCTGCAGGAAAAAATAGACATTTCCATTGCTTACCCATTTTTCAATGCCACACTTAGGAAGTTGGAGATCTTCTTGGCAAATATCCCTCTTCCTGCTCTGGGTTATTTGATAAGCTTCAAACCACAGATCCTATCTTTCTCTTCTATATATCCCTTGCACTTATTACTATTCTTACTACAATTTTTATATGTAAATCTGTATATATAAATACTAGTTGGTATCTTTACGGTTCTTTTCTTTAACCTTCAAGAACATTCCAGGTCAACTGAGGCAATTTTAGGAGTCAAGAGTACACAAACCTGTACTAGGCCCACACTCATTTGTGCCATTTACATGTTGTTTCTCAGCAACTCACTATCAATGTAATTTTTCTTTAGACTAGAAAAAATGTGTTTTGGTTGAGATGAAAGCATAATTAATCACTGTACCAGGCTGCTAAGAAGAATCCCATCTAATTGAGAGGCTAATGCTTTAGCTCTGACTAATCCTTGATACACCAGAAAGTTTAGTAGCTCAAATAATCAAAGGAAGGATTCTTTCTGCAGTCACATACAATTCAGAATTAAACTCATTTTTCCTTTAACAAATCCAATTCACTAATGTTACTATTCCTGTGAAAGTCCTCTGAACACACATTTGACACAAAAAGGGTCAATTTTTTTTTTTTTAAAGATGCTTTTATATGGATCCACAAGCTCAGAGCACTCATGATCCTGTCTTAAGCCATTTTAGCTCACAAAGGGTTCAATGCCATATAATTAATGTTGGTGTTTTTAATTTTGAAAAAAATATATTACCTTATATTCCACCATTCCAATAAGATTAAGTGCATACTTATGCTTAGGCTGGCTGTTAAAATAGATTTATAATCTTACATACTGAATAAATCACACAGCTGGATTTGTACAAACATGGTTTACAAGCCAGAACTGGCTGGATTCACACTAAGCTATGACCAAACAAAACATATTATGCAAAGCAAGCTATGTGAAACAGATTTTAATTATCAGTAATTCATCCCAGATAAGAACTGAGCTGAAATGAAGTGATATAAAAATGTAAAACCTCCTTTAGTAGAATAGAGATAAGATTCTTTGAAGCCTGATTCCAGCTTCATAAGAGGTTTGTTAGATGCTTCTTGCAACAGACAGCATGTGTCCTTCATGCAGCTATCAGAGGCTTTATTCTCCAGCTATTATCTGCCTCTCCTCCTCACAGCTGGAATAAGATAAATAAAATTGAGTTAATTGCTAACTGCCTGGAATTTCCCATAAAGATAATGACAGGCAGAGGTAACATAAAGGTAAGTGGAGGAAGATGCTTTCCTTTAATATGTTCAGAAGCACTTTTAACATCTGGTAGCCTGTTTCTCCAAACTGCAGTGCCAGGTACCAAGATGAGGCTGTTGTTGCACAAGACAAACAACCATCTTTAGGCTGACTAGTCAGGAAGTGCTACTGCAATATGATGTCAGCTGCAGAATGCAGATTGAGCTATTGCTTTCTAAAGCAGCTTTCTTCAACCTTTACAGCAATAGAGCAGGAATCCTTGCTAAAGCAGAAGCCAGTAGATGCAATAGCCCTAAGAAGTAGGGGCAAAAAAGCAAATATAAATAATATGGGCCACGTCAAATCTTGGATGCTCCTTACTGATATGCTGCACCCTGGAATTAGGGCTTCCTTCAAGTAAAAGGAATTGCCATTTTCTGTCACCTGGAAGCAATAGTCTAATCCAGTCTTCTCCAGCTGAGGCCCTAGCAAATGCATTATGCTAAAGCTGACTGGAATGATGGGAGTTATAATCAAAACATCTAGAAGGTGCTTGATTACTAAAGGCAGTTCTATCATCAAAACAGTGTTTGGGGACTCATAGGATTGGTTCACATAGCATAGCCATGGTTTGTTCTAATTATGTTTTGATAAATCAGTCCCAATGGCTAGGTTTACAAACTGCAGTGATAGGATTCATATAATGGACTAAACAAAAATCAAACTTCACTGCAGTATGTAAATCTAACCCAAGGCTTCTTTATTATTATCTTGTAATGGGGTGGGGGGGGGCGTTCCTTGCAACTATCTTAACATGCTATTTTTCAGTTCTTGAACTAGCATAAAATATGCTAGGATAAATTGCCCTGCCCCATATTCTGACAGCACTTGATATGTTCTTACAGTTCTAATGCAAGACAAGTTAAAGAAAGCAATTG